AGCGACTCATGATCCGCCGTGTCTCTTCAGGAGCTTCGCTGACTGGGCACACATTTGTGACCGTCTACTCATCGACATGGCAGGCACTCAATGAGCTGGCAACTGATCCCTACCCTGAAGTAGCTGCTATGGCCAGGACCATCATCAGTGCAGTCAGGAAAAAGGTATCACTTCCGTCTATCCATCTTCAATTCTCTGACAGAGTTTGTGTGAGAGAGACAGATGAGTGTCAGTCCATTTGAAACACATCTTTGTGTCAGTGTGAGCCGTGGAGGTGTAACGGCTGAATTCTCCGTTTGAAGGTCGGGGATTTGAATCTGCATCGAGTCAGACATTTTTCAGAAATGACCTTGGCTGTCAGGTTGATCCAGCCTTAAATAGATACCTGGTGTAGTCCTGGGAAGTAAAGGCGTTGGCGACATCACCATCGCAGGCTGAATGTTCTATATAAAAATAAGTTTCACATCATGTGTCTGATATGAAGAGAGCCTTTACTTGTTTTTAGATGTCAACGGTTTGTGTACTGTGTCTTCCCTGTGTTGAGATTAACATCTTTGTCACATCAACACCTTGTTTCCTTTGTGTTTAGATTTATATCTGTCTTATATCAACAGTCTGTTGACTGTCTTAAATGTGTTGAGATTAATATATTTTTTGGGGGACAACATTTTGAGTGTCTCTTCAATGTGTTGAAATTAACATCTTTATTGTGTCACCGACATGTAACAAGTGCCAGTGAAGCTGCAAAAATGACAGGTTTCATATTTCAGATGGATGACCAAGACTAGTACTGAGGCCTTGTTCATAGTGTCAGGGTGGTTGTTTGACTTACCAGTGATCTGTTTGACTTTCAGGTAACATGAGCAGTGACCTTTTGTGTAACATACAGGTGGCATTTTGTTTCATAGTCTGAGGTTTCACAGAACCAGGGTCTGGTTTGACAGGAACTTATTTAACACACTGGAGACTTGTTTGACACACCACAGACTGTTTATTGACACACCAGAGACTGTTTATTGACACACCAGAGACTGTTTATTGACACACCAGGGGACTGTTTATTGACACACCAGGGGACTGTTTATTGACACACCAGGGGACTGTTTATTAACACACCAGGGACTGTTTATTGACACACCAGGGGACTGTTTATTGACACACCAGGGGACTGTTTATTGACACACCACAGACTGTTTATTGACACACCAGAGACTGTTCATTGACACATCAGAGACTGTTTATTGACACACCACAGACTGTTTATTGACACACCAGAGACTGTTCATTGACACACCAGAGACTGTTCATTGACACACCACAGACTGTTTATTGACACACCACAGACTGTTTATTGACACACCACAGACTGTTTATTGACACATCAGAGACTGTTTATTGACACATCAGAGACTGTTTATTGACACACCACAGACTGTTTATTGACACACCACAGACTGTTTATTGACACACCAGAGACTGTTCATTGACACACCAGAGACTGTTCATTGACACACCAGGTACTTGTTGTTTGACACACCAGGAACTATTCATTGACACACTGGGAACTTGTTTTACACACCAGGGACTTGTTTGACACACCAGGGACTTTTAAAGATATCAGCAACCTAATGTTAAGTACAGAAAACTACATATATTAACAGTTGATTATGCGTATGATATTTTGCCAGGCATCAGCAACGGCTCGTCCCCGCCAGGTTGTCCAAGCAGTGGTCTCCCAGAATAATCACATGTCAGCATCCAGCCCGTCCAGACCAGCCAACATGCCCTTTGGGTGGGTATTCATCATTAATCCCTCTGCTGAAGTCTAGGCACATAAATATTTGACTGTTGTCTTGACTAGACATGAACATTTTTGTCTGATGATTATCTGTTTCTTTGTTTGACCATTATCTATGTTTTTCTGTTAGTTATCTTTATAACAGTTTGAACATTAACTCTTTGAGTCCCAGAGGGTTTAGCATCCAAGACCCAATGGGTGATAATGCAATTTTTTAATTTCACAAGTGTAACACATTAAAACAGACCATACTAATTCCATTGCCGCCCAACATACACATATTATACATCAAAGTGACCAGGGATTGTTGAGGAATGATTATAGAATACAGCTGCAACAAATAATTGCGTTAGTAGTTAAATATTATTAAATAAACAGACAGTATGTTTACAAAATTTAGTAAAGTAAAATGTTAAAAATTTCCACTTACCACCACGTTACATGAGGAAAACTGGTTCAAATATATTCAAAATAAAGCACAAGTGAGTGTGAACCACTTAGTAGTGTGAATTTTCCTGTAATTTTTTTAGCTATGTTTCGAAATAATAACAGGAATAGCACTGGAACTAACTGACACTGAAGAAAATTGTCTTTTCACTAATGTTCTATTTGTGCCAGCTGACTTTGCTATCATTGTACCCTTTGCATGAGGTATACACATATTCCTCATCAAAGTTTGACTCTATAAATGACAGAAACGCTTCTAATTCGCAACGTTATCTAACTTTAGGATAAATCTTAAAAAACACATACTTAATTTAAATTTGAGGCTTCTAAAGCCGTAAATCATGTTGGCATGCATGAAGAATGGCGTCCATATTCTTTTCAAACAAACACTTGGTAACTCGGCAAACCTCGCAAATATACTATATTTTTGGCTTTCAAACCACATTTCTAAATGAGCACGCTTGGTATCAGACACAAAGAACTCGAAAGGAAGTTGAAATTGAGCGGTCCGCATTTTATTATTTGTCAGTGGTAGATTAAAAATGAACAACAACAACAACGGGGAGTGAAGCATACCAAAATGGTGTATTACAGGTTCAGTGCTAATAATGCCAGTGAAAGTGAATAAGTGACAATGAAAACTCTCCAAAATTGAATACATGCAAATCACTTCTATCGCTCTCACTCTGGCTCTCGATAAAGATTCCCTATCTAATTACAGCTATTTTGACATCAAATCATCTTATATAGGTCATCGCTTCAACCTTGGAAAACAGTAACAGTTTTTCAAAATTATTCCAGTATGCAGCCGAAATACTGATGAGCAAGAATAGGTCGTCACTTCCCACAAATCTCCAGCAGAAATGCTTATATCAGTTCTGTTGCAGTCTATTGGGGGGAGCTGCGATCTTGTTGACACAACAGTTTCTCTCCCAGCCTAGAAGCTGATCTTCATAGTGAAATCCAGGATAAATTCTCCACTGGGATTCACCACCTCGGACACACACGTCCATCTCCCAGGAATTCTTGGCTGCCAACTCCTTGGAGCTTGATCTCGTAACAATGATACGTAACACTTCTTTAGGGATGCTTAGTAAATCATAGTTCCATACAATTATCATTCAGATTAAGTGGAAACTGTCTTCTTTAGGGATGCTTAGTAAATCATAGTTCCATACAATCTTCATTCAGATTAAGTGGAAACTATCTTCTTTAGGGATGCTTAGTAAATCATAGTTCCATACAATTATCATTCAGATTAAGTGGAAACTGTCTTCTTTAGGGATGCTTAGTAAATCATAGTTCCATACAATCTTCATTCAGATTAAGTGGAAACTATCTTCTTTAGGGATGCTTAGTAAATCATAGTTTCATACAATTATCATTCAGATTAAGTGGAAACTGTCTTCTTTAGGGATGCTTAGTAAATCATAGTTCCATACAATCTTCATTCAGATTAAGTGGAAACTGTCTTCTTTAGGGATGCTTAGTAAATCATAGTTCCATACAATTATCATTCAGATTAAGTGGAAACTGTCTTCTTTAGGGATGCTTAGTAAATCATAGTTCCATACAATTATCATTCAGATTAAGTGGAAACTGTCTTCTTTAGGAATGCTTAGTAAATCATAGTTTCACACAATTATCATTCAGATTAAGTGGAAACTATCTTCTTTAGGGATGCTTAGTAAATCATAGTTTCACACAATTATCATTCAGATTAAGTGGAAACTATCTTCTTTAGGGATGCTTAGTAAATCATAGTTTCACACAATTATCATTCAGATTAAGTGGAAACTATCTTCTTTAGGGATGCTTAGTAAATCATAGTTTCACACTATCATCATTCAGATTAAGTGGAAACTATCTTCTTTAGGGATGCTTAGTAAATCATAGTTTCACACAATTATCATTCAGATTAAGTGGAAACTGTCTTCTTTAGGGATGCTTAGTAAATCATAGTTCCATACAATTATCATTCAGATTAAGTGGAAACTGTCTTCTTTAGGGATGCTTAGTAAATCATAGTTCCATACAATTATCATTCAGATTAAGTGGAAACTGTCTTCTTTAGGGATGCTTAGTAAATCATAGTTCCATACAATTATCATTCAGATTAAGTGGAAACTGTCTTCTTTAGGGATGCTTAGTAAATCATAGTTTCACACAATTATCATTCAGATTAAGTGGAAACTATCTTCTTTAGGGATGCTTAGTAAATCATAGTTTCATACAATTATCATTCAGATTAAGTGGAAACTATCAACTGATAGAGATACTTGACCATGATTCTGGTGATCATATGAGATGGCAAACCTTAACCTTTTAATTTTATCAGTAGGGTACATAATGATATAAAATTTTATTATCAGTTTGACTATACAGTTGTGTTGTGTTACCAATGTGACTAAATCTGATTGTGTTATAATTGTGACTATATGGTATTGCATTATCAGCTTGACTAAATGTGATTGTGTATTATCAGTTTAACTAAATGCAATTGAATTGTATGCATTGATTTGACTGAATGTGAGTGTATTACCTGTTTGACTATCTGATTGTATTATCAGTCTGTATGGTCAGCAGGTTAAGTCTATGGGATTATGTTATCGGTCTGACTATATTGAATTGTTATTGTCTCAGTGTCTAGTTGTGTTATCAGTTTGACAGTGTCTAGTTGTATGATCAACTTGACAGTCTCAGTTTGACCTTATCTAATGACTTGTTATTATTGAACAGGACACCCCCACAGAACATGAGCAGCCCAATGTCTCAGTCGGCAAGGAAAGCCTATGACAAGCTTTCATCTTCACTGCTGGTCAGTTCTCAGTCTTTCCTTGTTTCATATCAATTGTCTCAGCCTGTTTAAATAACTGGTGCCAGGCACAGATATTCCAGCTTCCAGAGCCCATGTTGGTTGAGCAAACAGTGCTGGTCCTTCATGAGACCACCCGGATGAAAGAGGGCTCATCCCGCTCCTAGCCTTGAGTGTAGAGGAGCAGTTGATTTAGTGATTACACACATCATTAACTCTTCCAGGATGACATTGTGTCTGGGTTTGGTCAGCATTAATTTTGAGCTGAATATCTGTGGCGTGGTGTTTTATGTCACAGGCGTGAGGGAAAGTTAAGTCCAACATGATGTGTATAAGGAGATACTCCGTACGTTACTTGGGCGCCAGTCCTTCACTGTTCTGGTTTTACGGAACCTCACGCAAGACCCCTGCAGCACGTCCTCGTCGTGCGCCACAGACAATGTCTCAAATGAGCATTAACAGAGCTGTCAGGGGATCTCTGAGTTTGGCGGCCCCCAGGGTTGATGTGTCCTTGTGGCTCTCATCAGCCCACCCCCAAACGCAAAAGGTTATCAAAACTCATTAGCAACATGAGTAAAGTGCTTGCCTAACGTACAGCTAAAATCACAACCCTTGGTTAAAAGATTGCGGAGTGAAGAGAACATTGTTCTGCTGAGACTCAACCCTTGACCCAGAGATTTACCCGCAGCACAGACGCATATGCGCAAAATTACCACCTGCGAGATGAGGTGCCTGAGAAAAGCAGCTAACCTAACCATACGAGATCGAGTGAATAATGAAACAATCAGGCAAATTGTGGGAACGACAGCTAACCTAACCATACGAGATCGAGTGAATAATGAAACAATCAGGCAAATTGTGGGAACGACACCTTGTACTAGATTCATCGAGAAACAGCAGATCAAGTGGTTTGGCCATCTCGTTAGAATGCAGCAAGATCAAATACCATCACAAGCATTACATCTCAGAAGACCAACTACAAGAGCAAGAACGGAAAACATGGATCGACAACATTAAAGACACTCTACGCCTTCACGGCATGACAATAGCCAGTGGCAACCAACGTGCACTGGAACGCAAATTATTCCTCCCACGATGCTTAACGGCAGAAGTGGTTTATGATGATGATGACAGACGAGTAACATCTCCTGTGGGTGGCGTCTCGCAGCAAGATTTTACCCATGTACATCCTCTGTTAACCCTCAGTGTCGCTGAGGTACACCACAACAGCAACAGCCCATTGGCTGGTTAAGCCTAAATGTCCGACAAAACTAGATCCTACGGCACACGAGTAAGCTCAAAATCCGACCATCACAAATACTATTGAATGGGAAAAAGTCCAAATGTCCACACCCAAAGACCCCACTCGCCCGAGTGTTGGGACCAAACTGACAACCATATGCCTGACGCAGGATGTTAAATTCTGTCGGGCTAATGGCTCGTCAAAGATATCTAACGTGCAAAGAAAAAGAATGTACCTATTCGTGTGGTCACAAAAGTCCAGAACCGCGGGCTGCTCCCCACTGACTTCCAGAGGGCGCAGCCCTCGTCGAGCGAGAGGCCTAAGCAGGCATGTGCAGGACGTGACGATTCCTTGGGTGAGCCCAGAACCAGAGCGCCATGTGCCGGCTCTGCATACATGGAAGCCTCCTTGGATGGCGCGGAATGCTCATGATTTGCCCTTGCCTTCCCTTGAGGGCCAACCGTTCCACAAGGGGCTGCCCCAAAGGGGTATTGCGGGGGCATTACCTGCGGAGAAGGCAACAAAGAGGACACCACACAAATCAGGCAACGTCTCGACCCACACAAAACAATGGCCACAGTCATCCTAGAAATAGGCTTGATGTCTTTCCTTGAAGGAGTACATCTGCCCGCGAGGCAGGGAACAGCAAAACGGTTGTACACGCAAAACTCAGGTCCAGGTAAAAGCCAAAAGTCCAAGCGGACGATTAACCTCGACCTTCTCTCAGAATTCACAGCCGGTGAACGAAGAAGAAGCTGAATATCTCAGAATTCACATGCATCCTCTGCTCAATTATATTACCATTTTTGTATAGCGTGTCAGATTTCGCAACAACTGAATTCTGGACACAGCTGATCAAAACAACGCTGATCTGATTGAAATATTTTGTTCATTTTCATCCTAACCTATATTATCAGTAGGTTTGTCACTTGCATTATCAATCATAATATCCAGACATGTGCCATAGATCAACACTAACATAGGTGACTGTGTCATACATCACCACCAGAGTACATGTGCCATAAATCAACACTAACATAGGTGACTGTGTCATACATCACCACCAGAGTACATGTGCCATAGATCAACACTAGCATAGGTGACTGTGTCATACATCACCACCAGAGTACATGTGCCATAGATCAACACTAACATAGGTGACTGTGTCATACATCACCACCGGAGTACATGTGCCATAGATCAACACTAACATAGGTGACTGTGCCATAGATCAACACTAGCATAGGTGACTGTGTCATACATCACCACCAGAGTACATGTGCCATAGATCAACACTAACATAGGTGACTGTGTCATAGATCACCACCAGAGTACATGTGCCATAGATCAACACTAACATAGGTGACTGTGTCATACATCACCACCAGAGTACATGTGCCATAGATCAACACTAGCATAGGTGACTGTGTCATACATCACCACCAGAGTACATGTGCCATAGATCAACACTAACATAGGTGACTGTGTCATACATCACCACCGGAGTACATGTGCCATAGATCAACACTAACATAGGTGACTGTGTCATACATCACCACCAGAGTACATGTGCCATAGATCAACACTAGCATAGGTGACTGTGTCATACATCACCACCAGAGTACATGTGCCATAGATCAACACTAACATAGGTGACTGTGTCATACATCACCACCAGAGTACATGTGCCATAGATCAACACTAGCATAGGTGACTGTGTCATACATCACCACCAGAGTACATGTGCCATAGATCAACACTAACATAGGTGACTGTGTCATACATCACCACCGGAGTACATGTGCCATAGATCAACACTAACATAGGTGACTGTGCCATAGATCAACACTAGCATAGGTGACTGTGTCATACATCACCACCAGAGTACATGTGCCATAGATCAACACTAATATAGGTGACTGTGTCATACATCACCACCAGAGTACATGTGCCATAGATCAACACTAGCATAGGTGACTGTCATACATCACCACCAGAGTACATGTGCCATAGATCAACACTAGCATAGGTGACTGTGTCATACATCACAACCAGAGTACATGTGTTATAGATCAACACTAACATAGGTGACTGTGCCATACATCACAACCAGAGTACATGTGTTATAGATCAACACTAACATAGGTGACTGTGCCATAGATCAACACTAACATAGGTGACTGTGCCATAGATCAACACTAACATAGGTGACTGTGCCATAGATCAACACTAACATAGGTGACTGTGTCATACATCACAACCAGAGTACATGTGCCATAGATCAACACTAACATAGGTGACTGTGCCATAGATCAACACTAGCATAGGTGACTGTGTCATACATCACCACCAGAGTACATGTGCCATAGATCAACACTAACATAGGTGACTGTGCCGTAGGTCTACTCTAACATAGGTGCTTGTGCCATATATCACCACCGGACTACATGTGCCATAAATCAACACTAACATAGGTGACTGTGCCGTAGATCTACTCTAACATAGGTGCTTGTGCCATACATCACTTTTAGAGTACATGGACTGTGGATCACCACCGAAGTTCCCTGTGTGGGTTCAAGGGCCCCATTGTGGCGGGAAGAAAAAGAATAGCTGCACAACAAGCATGTCATAAAGTGGACTAACTAGGGGTTGTTTCCTTTGAAGTCCAGTGCAGCAGCCTGAGAGGCAAGGAATCAAGTCTGCATACAAGCAAACCAGAGCTGTAAGGTACACAGAAATTTGGACTGGATGACAGCTTTCATCAAGGCTGCTGACAGGCCTGCTGATGTACATTTTCTTACAGAAGGGTCACAGAAGAAGAAGATTGCTGACACGTTGTCACAGACAAATGGTGCTGTTGCTATAAACAGACTTGACTGTTGCCATTTTGACCTAAACAAAAAAATACACTGTTGATATAATGACTAAACAATTGCTATTATTGATGTATACAGTTACCACTGTAAAATTTTGACAGACATCACTGTTGTCAGTGTAAACAGATGTCACTGTTGTCAGTGTAAATAGATGTCACTGTTGTCAGTGTAAACAGATGTCACTGTTGTCAGTGTAAACAGATGTCACTGTTGTCAGTGTAAACAGATGTCACTGTTGTCAGTGTAAACAGATGTCACTGTTGTCAGTGTAAACAGAAGCCACCATTGACATAAACAGAACTTTTGTTATAGACTGATGTCACAGTTGGCATGTTTACATAAATACCTGCCTGGTTGACATAAACATGTTACTGTTGACATGCTCACTATAAAACATGTCACTGTTGATCCAAACATTGGTTGCTGTAATTCAGATGTCACTGTATGAGCTAGTGTTACTCTCTGTGTTAGCATGAAGAGATGTTATGTTAAATACACATTTTTGTTTAACATAAACCAATTCTTTGTTAGTAAAATCAGTCATTTAGTGCTACGGTTCCAGCATCACAGCAAACCAGCTGGGCCCAGAATTGCTCAACCGCCCATGCCAATGAATCCAGTCACAGACTGAGTCAGATACTTCAAGTGAATCCAGTCACAGAGTCAGATACGCTGGATACTTCAAGTGAATCCAGTCACAAACTGAGTCAGATACGCTGGATACTTCAAGTGAATCCAGTCACAGAGTCAGATACGCTGGATACTTCAAGTGAATCCAGTCACAGAGTCAGATATGCTGGATACTTCAAGTGAATCCAGTTACAGAGTCAGATACGCTGGATACTTCAAGTGAATCCAGTCACAGAGTCAGATACGCTGGATACTTCAAGTGAATCCAGTCACAGAGTCAGATACGCTGGATACTTCAAGTGAATCCAGTCACAGAGTCAGATACGCTGGATACTTCAAGTGAATCCAGTCACAGAGTCAGATACGCTGGATACTTCAAGTGAATCCAGTCACAGACTGAGTCAGATACGCTGGATACTTCAAGTGAATGCCGGCGCCATACAAAGTGTCTTCAGTCAGAAAAACACATATGATTTGATCTAGTAAACCATAAGGTGCATGCTTTCTTAAACACACTGCGAGACCAGGCGTCATCGCTGAAAATCAACATCATTTGAAAAATAGCTGGGCGATGAATAGATTACAACTATTCCTGACCATTCTCCACATGTCCTCGGCCAAGTTGCAGCCACGGCCAGCAAATAAATAGTAGCTGTAGCACACGCCTTCTCCCAGGAACACAACAAAGAAAAATACATCACCCATCACTGGCATTATGTACGAATCTGGCACTCAGTCAATAACTGATAATCACAGCTCATAGTGTCGCCAGGAGCACTAAACTCGTTAGCTCCGGCTGCAAACCAGACTTCCACAGTCTTGCAACATCGAAACTAGAGAAGAAAAGGCGACAATAACGGTCAACATAAGCCAAGTTCTCAACCGTCATCCATTCCCAATCAATGTCGGAACCGGAAAAATCTTAGTGTACTGACATGAACACCTGTCACTGTTAATTTTTCAGAATTTATTAAATGTCATTGTTAATTCGTTCATTTGTAATATGTTCTTTTAAATATCTGTCAACATATAAACTTTAACAGATGTAATTTTATTTGTCGCTATGAACAAATGTTGTAATGTCATTGTTGGTGTGCACACATGTCAGTGTTGATTTGGTGTATCCAGTCAGATGACAAGGATGAAGAGCAGAACTCCATCGCAGACCTAGTGAGCACACAGTTGTTTGAGTGGAGCTGTAAGTACTTCTCGGAACCCTGCATGTGTCTGAAGAAAGAGAACGACCCAGAGAGTCAGGCCTACCACCAACGGGAGTACAGGTTCCTGAGAAATGCCAGGGTCCGAACTCAAGGCAGGGATCAGCTGAGAGTTGGTCAGTGATTTTATTTATCTTTGCTTTTCTTGTGTGTCAGGGAGTGCCGTGACGGAGCGGCTCGACGCGGATCAGAAGGTCGTTCCCTGGCGGTAGCTGAATTTTTTCAAAAATGACCTTGGCTTCCAGGTTGACCCAGCCTTGAGTGGGTACCAGGTACAGTCCTGGGAAGTAAAGGCAGCCGGCGTGATGCTGACCACATCACCCATCTTGTGCCGATTGGTCTATAAAAATTTAGATCTAGCCCTATATGCCTAAAGGCGTGGAAAAGGGTTCTTTTTTTCTTCAGTTTCGAGGCAGGTCTGAGAGTAACATTGATGTGCCAGATAAATGTAAACTTTCCTTGGAGGTTTCAGGGCCCTAATGTGAGAGCAAAAACACAAAGAACAGACCTACTGCCCACTGACAGCATGTTACACAAGTAGACTAGTTAGGGGGTGTCCTTCTAAGTCAGAATGTATTTGCATGAGAAGCCAGGAACCAACAGTCTGCATACAAAGAAACTAGATCTGTAAATCTGAAATGCACATAAAACACAAGTTATGGAGCAAGATTTATATGACTCAGTGGATGAACAACCAGAACTTTCTGCCAGAGGTTACACCTGGTGAGCGAGAAGGGAAATAAAAAGATCTAAACTTGACAGGCTTGTTATTAAATTGACCAATGCCTTTTGGTTATTCACTTCTATACTTGACCAATGGCTTATTGTCATTTACTACCAGACTTGACCACTAGCTTGTTGTCATTCACTGATAGACTTGACCAGAAGCTTGTTGTCATTCACTGCTAGACTTGACCAATAGCTTGTTGTCATTAACTGCTAGACTTGACCAGAAGCTTGTTGTCATTCACTGCTAGACTTGACCAGAAGCTTGTTGTCATTCACTGCTAGACTTGACCAGAAGCTTGTTGTCATTCACTGCTAGACTTGACCACTAGCTTGTTGTCATTAACTGCTAGACTTGACCAGAAGCTTGTTGTCATTCACTGCTAGACTTGACCAATAGCTTGTCATTAACTGCTAGACTTGACCAATAGCTTGTCATTCACTGCTATACTTGACCAATAGCTTGTTGTCATTAACTGCTAGACTTGACCAGAAGCTTGTTGTCATTCTCTGCTAAATTTTGAATGTTAAATTAAGCATAAGCATCATAGCACTCAGGACACTTCCATGTTCCCAGTTTCCCCATATTCAAGAGCAAATGAGGAGTTCCAGTTCTGATGATACCAGTAACTGTGTGAATGTACATCCATCTCACCCCTCCCTTGAGTGTTGGATCAATCCCCGGTTAACTTTCCACAGCACCATTCTACTCAGACCACAAAGATCTAGTTGTGCCTCCTCACTGTTCACTTGCTCCCAAAGGGCCCTCACAACATCCAGCTTGTCATACATCAATTCACCACCAAGTGTTGCAGAACATTCACTTCTAGACTTGACCAGTAGCTTGTAGTCATTCACTGCTAGACTTGACCAATAACTTATTGTCATTCACTGCTAGACGTAACCAATAGCTTATTGTCATTCACTGCCAGACTTAACCAATAGCTTATTGTCATTCACTGCTAGACTTGACCAATAGCTTATTGTCATTCACTGCCAGACTTAACCAATAGCTTATTGTCATTCACTGCTAGACTTGACCAATAGCTTATTGTCATTCACTGCTAGACTTGACCAATAGCTTATTGTCATTCACTGCTAGACTTGACCAATAGCTTATTGTCATTCACTGCTAGACTTGACCAATAGCTTATTGTCATTCACTGCTAGACTTGACCAATAGCTTATTGTCATTCACTGCTAGACTTGACCAATAGCTTATTGTCATTCACTGCTAGACTTGACCAGTAGCTGGTTATTGATTGCTAGACTTGACCAGTAGTTTTTATTTTTTTGGGGTGTCATTCACTTCTAGATGACCAGCAGTTTGCTGTCATTCACTGCCAGATTTGACCAATAGCTTATTGTCATTCACTGCTAGACTTAATCAGTAACTAATTGTCATTCACTGCTAGACTTGATCAGTAGCTTGTTGCCATTGATTGCTAGACTTGACCAGTAGTTTTTTGGGGGGTGTTATTCACTTCTAGACCTGACCAGTAGTTTGCTGTCATTCACTGCTAGATTTGACCAATAGCTTGTTGTCATTTACTGCTAGATTTGACCAGTGGTTTGTTGTCAGTCAGAGACTTGACCGATGATTTGTCAGATTTAGACTTGATCAGTAGCTTGACTCACAGCTAGACTTGACTCATTGTTGGTTGTTACTCAGAGATATGACTGACAGTAATATTGACAGAGTGACACATGCATGGAGCTAGTCTTTCAGAAGCTGAACAAACGTGTACTCAGATGGCTAGTTAGAATTGGGTGAAGGTTAGCAGTGATTGACCTCCAGCAAGTAACTTGTATTTGTGTGCTACAGTTGTTTTTTTGTTCTGTTTATCTGTTGCTTTGTTCTAATGTCATACTTGTTCTTTTGGCTTGTTTGCTTGTCTTTCTTATGTTTTTGTTCTCATTTATAATGGTTTTCTATTTGTTATCATTTTTTGGGGTACTTGTTCAGTTCATTTGCTTGCCAGTTCTCATTTGTTATGCATGTTATCTTAATTTGTTATCATTTACTGTATCTTTATTAGTTTGTTCTAATTTGCTTGTTTATTATCTTCATTTTCTTGTTCCCTTTATTGGTTATACTTGTTCTGTTCATTTGTTTTGCTTGATAACTTTATTTGCTTGTTTCCTTCATCTATTATGCTTGTTCTGTTGATTTGTTTGTTCCCTTCATTTGTTATGCTTGTTCACTTCATTTTCTTGTTCCCTTCATTTGTTATGCTTGTTCTGTTCATTTGTTTGTTCCCTTCTACTGTTATGCTTGTTCTTCTCACTTGTTATGTGTGTTCTCTTCATTTGTGTTGCTTTTTTTTTTTTTTCATTTTTGTTCATTTGTTATGCTTGTTCTCTTCATTTGTTTGTTTCAGTTGTTAAGCTTGTTCCTTCATTCATTTGATTCTTCTCTCCATTTGTTTGATTTTCACCTTCATTTGTTGTGCCTGTTCCCTTTATTTGTTTGTTTGTTCCCTATATAAATTTGCTTATTATCACTGCTTGTTAACGTCAGTGCTGTTGCTGTAATTCTTGTTGACTTGCTGGCTTATTTCCTACAGGAGTGTCCCGTCTTGATGATCAGATGTTTGTCAACAGAGTTGGCGCAGTACCCACAGCCATCAAGTTCCACCCATATGAAAATTTCCTGGCCGTTGCAGATGCCGGCAATGTTTCGTACGTATGAAAAATGTCATGTGGCCAGTGTTCGGTTATAGTTAACAGTACATCGCAATTGTATCAGTATGGGTTAAGGTTGGGATTTGGGCTATGTCAAGTGGCAAGGGCTAGGGTTATGGTCAGGAATATGTCAAGTGACAAGGGCTAGGGTTATGGTCAGGAATATGTCAAGTGGCAAGGGCTAGGGTTATGGTCAGGAATATGTCAAGTGGCAAGGGCTAGGGTTATGGTCAGGAATATGTCAAGTGGCAAGGGTTATGGTCAGGAATATGTCAAGTGGCAAGGGCTAGGGTTATGGTCAGGAATATGTCAAGTGGCTAGGGCTAGGGTTATGGTCAGGAATGTGACAAGGGCTAGGGTTATGGTCAGGAATATGTCCATGGCAAGGGTTATGTTCAGGAATATGTCAAGTGGCAAGGGTTAGGGTTATGGTCAGGAATATGTCAAGTGGCAAGGGTTATGGTCAGGAATATGTCAAGTGGCAAGGGCTAGGGTTATGGTCAGGAATATGTCAAGGGGCTAGGGTTATGGTCAGGAATGTGACAAGGGGCTAGGGTTATGGTCAGGAATATGTCAAGTGGCAAGGGCTAGGGTTATGGTCAGGAATATGTCAAGGGGCTAGGGTTATGGTCAGGAATGTGACAAGGGCTAGGGTTATGGTCAGGAATATGTCAAGTGGCAAGGGCTAGGGTTATGGTCAGGAATATGTCAAGTGGCAAGGGCTAGGGTTATGGTCAGGAATATGTCAAGTGACAAGGGCTAGGGTTATGGTCAGGAATATGTCAAGTGGCAAGGGCTAGGGTTATGGTCAGGAATATGTCAAGTGGCAAGGGTTATGGTCAGGAATATGTCAAGGGGCTAGGGTTATGGTCAGGAATATGTCAAGTGACAAGGGCTGGGGTTATGGTCAGGAATATGTCAAGGGCTAGGGTTATGGTCAGGAATATGTCAAGTGACAAGGGCTAGGGTTATGGTCAGGAATATGTCAAGTGGCAAGGGCTAGGATTACAGTCAGGAATATGTCAAGTGACAAGGGCTAGGGTTATGGTCAGGAATATGTCAAGTGGCAAGGGCTAGGATTACAGTCAGGAATATGTCAAGTGACAAGGGCTAGGGTTATGGTCAGGAATATGTCAAGGGCTAGGGTTATGGTCAGGATAATGTCAAGTGACAAGGGCTAGGGTTATGGTCATTAATGTGTCAGATGAACAGTATTCAGTGTTTGACACTGCTGGCTTGTCTCTTATCTGTTCCATTTCTGTTGGATAATATCCTGACCTCATGTTGGCCTGGTTTGCTTCCTCAGTAACACAAGGTTTTTTTTATCTTCTGTCTCTCGTCCTTGAATGGATTATACAGGCTTTCACCCACCCCCACTTTGTCGGCCTATCCTTGGCCATTGTCTATCACTTACTCATGTCCTCTCCTTCTTGTTCACAGCATTCTCTAGTTCTCTTCTTCATATGCTTTTTGGACTACCTTTATCCTTTCCTATGAGTTGCTGTGCACATGGACATTCTAGTTCTATTGTTACCAGGTTTTCTCAGTGTATGTCTCCAACGCCAGCTCTTATCCTTACCTCATGATTCATTTGACTTTGTTGATGATTCTTGTGGCTGTAGTGTTTTTTCAGGTTTAGAAAGCCAAGTCCTAAACTGTCAGTATATTTATCACCTCTTACAACATCCCTTGTAGGTAATCTGGTAATTTTAATTTCAGCTTCATAGCAAACGGGTCACCCCATCTTTGCTCCGCTCCTGTGTGCTATTTCTCTGGTAATATTTCTCCAGTACATAATGTTGTGTGTTATTTCTCTGGTAACATTTCTCTAGTATGTAATGTGTGCTATTTGGTAATATTTGTTCGGTATGTAATATGTGCTATTTCTTTGGTAATATTTCTCCAGTACATAATGTTGTGTGTTATTTCTCTGGTAACATTTCTCTAGTATGTAATGTGTGCTTTTTGGTAATATTTGTTCGGTATGTAATATGTGCTATTTCTTTGGTAATATTTCTCCAGTACATAATGTTGTGTGCTATTTCTCTGGTAATATGTCTCCAGTATGTAAAGTGTGCTATGTATCTGGTAATATTTATTCAGTATGTAATGTTTACTATTTCTCTCATAATTTTTCTCCAGTACGTAATGTTGTGTGTTATATGTCTGGTAATATTTCTCCAGTACGTAATGTTGTGTGTTATATGTCTGGTAATATTTCTCCAGTACGTAATGTTGTGTGCTGTGTCTACAGTAAGCTGAGCCCCATTTGTAAGGGAACAGATACACCCACTTACTGATCCTTAACATGGAGGTACTTGAAGGATTTACTGAAATTAAATCTGTTGGGCCAAAAGGCTCAGTGATTGCATCCTAGCTGTAAACTACAATGAAACACCCAATCATCTCTCTAAGGGCAAATGTAAAAGAAGAAAATGAAAAACACTCTTAGAATTTATACACAAGTTCTGTTTGTGATATTGTGTCTTCCCGGGCTTTAATGTACATAACAAAAAACATGATAAATGTTAGCATGTATGCTTTCAGTCTTTGAGCTGTGACGCAAAGGCAGAAAGTAAATACTGCAATCTGGCAGCAAAAAAGAAGCATTGAAAATGAGAATTTGTTTTCATTGGCCAGGTTCTGGGACCTAGAACAAGGAACCAAGATTTCAGACATAGCAAATCCTGCTTCTGTGGAGAAGGCTGCATTTCTTCAGACACGCACCAGTCGTATCACATCCATAGACTTCATCAATCCTCATGACCAGGCCTTGTTCATGTTCTGTACAGGTATGAGTATGTCTGATGTCAGTATTTAAGCTTTTGCGCAGGTCTGGGTATGTCTGGTGTCAGTATTTGACCTCTATAGTCAGTACTTGAGCATTTCACAGGTCTGAGTATGTCTGGTGTCAGTATTTGACCTCTCTAGTCAGTACTTGAGCATTTCACAGGTCTGAGTATGTCTGGTGTCAGTATTTGACCTCTGTAGTCAGTACTGTAGTCTGTAGTCGATAAACAGGAGGACTTCAATGAGCTGCTCTTTGCCAACGATCAATGCATATTTCACAGTGATAGTAAACAGCTGCAAGACCACATAAACCTACTACACGACAGTTGCCTAAAGCATCATATGAAGATCAAAACTGAAAAGACAGAAGTCATGAGCATAAGTAGAGAGCAACAGACCATCGACATAAAGATTCTAGATCACAGCCTAAAACAAGTGCAAGAATTTAAATACTTGGGAAGTATCTTTACATCCAATGGTAAAATAGACAGAGAGATCGAAGCAAGAATCCAACAAGCCAACAATGTCGCATACCAGCTTGCACCAATTTTAAAACACCCTGCGGTCCCATCTGAGATAAAAAGACAAATTATAAATACAATCTTTATACCGACATTAGGTTATCAATGTCAGACTTGGACATTAACAAAAGAACACGAGAGAAGACTAACCACCTGTGAAATGAGATGTTTGAGAATGGCTGCGAATAAAAAAACAGAAGAGATCGAGTGAGAAACGATGTGATTACAAGAACTATTGGAACCATACCCATCGTTAAATTTATTGAGAAGCAAAGAATGAAATGGTTTGTTCACCTAATGAGAATGGAACCAACGATGCCAGCATCAAGAGCATACCACATGAAAATCGAAACACCAAGAGGCAGGGGAAGACCAAGAAGAAGATGGATTGAAGGAGTCACGGACAACTTGAGACTTCATAACATCACGGCATATGAAGCGACTGAGCGCGCCCTGGCTCGGTTGCCGATCATCTGATAGACTGCGACGCCTAGCGGCACAAGTAGATTTTGACAAAAGAAGAAGAAGTCAGTACTTGAGCATTTCACAGGTCTGGGTATGTCTGGTGTCAGTATTTGACCTCTGTACAGATGTGAATGTTAGGCACCATCAGTATTTACCTTTTGTACAGGTGTGAATATTTCTGGTATCAGTAGTTAGCCTGCCTACAAATATGAATATGTCTGGTGTCATTATTTAGCCTTTTTTACAGGTAAGAATTGAGCCTATTTTATGTCAGTATTTAGTCTCACTTGGAGCTGTGGTAAGGCATTATCTAGCATATTTGCCTCATTCTAGAAATCCTCCAACACTAACCCAATCCCTGATGGCATCATGTATGCTGATATGCTGCAGATGTCAAAGGATGACATGACAGGCCTGGCAGGAGAGTTCAGCATCAGCATCAAGAGTGGTCAGGTCAAAGAGTAGTGGCCACACAGCTACCTACTACTGTTATCAAAACCAAGTAGACCTCTCCAAGTCAGTCATGCAAAACGCTACGGGCAAGTTTCTGTAGAAAACTGTAGCAGGCAGGCTCACTGATGACTTGGACAAGCATGGCTGGTTACCATCCACACTTGAAGGATACAAGCGTAGCAAAGAGACATGGCTCAATGCAGCAATCTTCGCCTGTGAAGTCTATGAAGGTTTTCAGATGAGAGAAGAGACATGTGCAGCTGCACTAGACTTAGATGATGCGTACAACAGAGTACTGTTTGACTATCTGGTGCACATACTTCTCCAACTGGAAGGAAGCATCTCCCTTCATTTCCCGCTGGGTAGCTGCAGCACTGATCTAGAGAGGGTTGATACTCAGGTGTGGTTAATGGTCCTCAAAACTAACAACTATCTGTCCAGGACTGGCTCCAGTTCCTTTGCTGTCTCCAGTTCTTTTCAGTATATATGTGGTGCTAATAACTGAACAGCAGTTGCATAGGAGTGGTAGAACTCTCTAATTTGAAGTTGACATCTTGGTGTATCGACATGGAAGAGAGAGTCAGGAAATTGCCAATGCAGTGCATTGTGAACTTGATCCCAATCCTCCTGGTATATGGATTCAGAAGATATGTCAACCCTTTCAATGACTCAGTAATGTGGTTCTCCTTAAACACACATATAGTCAGGGCACGCTTACCATCAGTGGAAAGCAGTGACAAAGTGTGGACAAGAACAAACCTGATGACATGTCTCAGAGTGAGGTTTGATTGTAGTATGTTCTTCAAAGAACACATTGACTATGTCATTAAAAAAAAAAAACAACAACATGCGAAAGCCTATCCTTAATGAGAGACCAGGTTATGGCCAATATTGAGCAGAGACTGCTTCTGTTCCAGGAACTGGTTCTTTCTCCCTTTCTTTGTCACATATGCTTTAGCCATTCTCTCTATTAGCCATACTCAGGCTGAAAGACTTGAAATGTTACAATATGCAGCCACGCACATTATTTTGGGATGCACAGGAGATACCTCTTGTGTATCAGTGAGATACCTTCTTGACTTTCTGACCATGAACTACAGGTTCAAGATCTGAAACACCCTTGCATGGCATGCTGTTCATGAAAAAGGGGCAAATCATGGCTGGGTAGGGCAGAGGATGATATCAAGCAGGTTTGCAGTCTTACAGACATCAACCCTGGCGAGGAATGGATACATTTGCCTAAAGCAATCAATGGCACCTTCTCATGTGTCATAACACTTGATAGGAGTTGTCGGGAGCATGATCATGTTGCTGTCAACACCGAGGTCTGTGCACCTATCAGTGACAAGTCAGCTGAGGCAGGCGTGCATAGACAGGTCCATCATACCAGGACTTGAGAGTCAGTGATCAGTCACAGCTTGCTCTGCAGGCAGAACAGCCCAGAAAGCCAGCAACATCTTCTCTGTGACTACCAGCAGCAGCATGATGATGGAAGGGATGGCAATGACACAAGCTTTCATGAGGCTGGAATCACAGGACTATTTCCACGTGTGTGTGCTGAATGATTCTAGGAACATGATCTGGGGGGACGAGGCAGGCTCCGTACACAGACATTGGATCGAGTCATTGCGAAAATCCCCTGTGCGTGCAGTTACCTTAATCTTTGTCCCAGAGTATGCAGGTGTTGTTGGCAATTGAAGGGCTGCAAGATTAGCCACTTCTGCCTTGGTTGCAGATAGCCAACCTGTTGACCGTGCCAACATTGTTAATGCCTTTAGAGAGATAGGACAATCCAAGTATTTTGGGAGCAGCAAGTTCACATCACTGCTAAGAATTCAAGAAGTGGGAGTAGAGGCACACCAGACGTACACACAGTCTTGTTAACCAGATAGTCTGAGCAGCTATGGAAGTGTCCGGAGTGTTGTGAAGATAACACAACTCATGACTGAACTTCTCATCCATAATGTGCTGCAGTACAGTAAAGTGCCAAGATGGGTGCCATAGCAGCTTATTCTAGAGTTGAAATGAGGACGCATTGATGATTGCCAACAACTTTTGCGGTGCTTTGAAGCAGGAGATGTTTTCCTATCAAGAAATATTACTGGAGACAAAACCATGGTTCACAGTCATGAGCCAGAAAGGAAGTAAACGAGCAAGTGATGGCACATCTCTCCTCGCCGAAACCAAAGAATTTTCAGACGCAGCCATCTGCAGGGAAGGCTATGCTGGCTCTCTTTCAGGAGGAACAAGGCGTTATTTTAGAGCACTACCTGGACAAATTGAAAACTGTCACAAGTGACAGACCTTCTCAGGAGTCATCTTTGACCTGCAGTCAAATCCAAACCTCGTGGACATACTCATGCCAATACTCAACCTCATACTATCTATGCAATGGTTTAAACCATCGAAGACTTTCACTTTTAGTGTGTACCACATTCCCCTGCACTCATGAGATCTAGCCCGAAGTGATTTCCACCTATCTGGACAACTCAAGAGTCGTTGAGAACTCTTATTCAATCTGAGGAAGAGGTACAGCAGGCGGTACATAAGTAGTTTACACACACAACCAAGAGGATAGTTTTTCTACAGGAATCCAAGCATTTTATCAACGCTGGAGGACTTGCGTTGAACACAGTGGTACTACATCCAACAATTATACACGTGTTTTTTACTTTTTCAGAACATATTTACCTCCAAAAACATAAAGGTTTTCATTTGAAGCCATCTCTTATATGCAGAAATATTTATTTATTTCTCTAGATGATGGTGCTGTTCGAATACACAGAAACTTTTTGTCACCAAATGAATCCGAGAGAGAATTGGTGACGGCTTTTAGAGGTCTTTCAGAAATTGTCCCTTCAGAAAGAGGTAAATTAATGTATGTGCATTCTTGCATATTCTGACACACAAGGCATATTGAAGTATATGTCCCACACTCATATCTTGAGGTACTGTTGTCACACATACAGATATCTTACTAAAGTACTTGTGTCCATCACAGACACATACAGATATCTTACTAAAGTACTTGTGTCCATCACACACACATACACATGCATGCACACACGCACACTTTGCTGAGATATTAGTCATTCACGCACATATCATACATCACACAGGTACTAGTGGCCCTTTGCACACACCACACCACACCGCTGAAGTACTGGTGTCCCACACTCACACAACTGTCTGTCTCCTGTGTAAAACAAACCCATTGACTTACGGCAGCTCACTTAGACCAGACCGATATTAGTTTCAGCTGGCTTATGAACAACTTCAGGGTGCAGAACATTGAGTCTCATCAGATGAGAAAGAAGCATTGGCTGACAACACAGTGGCTGAAACAGGACATGAAAGACACCCTGCGCATAAAGACAACACAGTGGCTGAAGCATGACATGAAAGACACCCTGCGCATAAAGACAACACAGTGGCTGAAGCAGGACATGAAAGACACCCTGCGCATAAAGACAACACAGTGGATGAAACAGGACATGAAAGACACCCTGCTCATGAAGACAACACAGTGGCTGAAGCAGGACATGAAAGACACTGCACATGAAGACAACACAGTGGCTGAAGCAGGACATGAAAGACACCCTGCGCATGAAGACAACACAGTGGCTGAAACAGGACATGAAAGACACCCTGCGCATAAAGACAACACAGTGGCTGAAACAGGACATGAAAGACACCCTGCTCATGAAGACAACACAGTGGCTGAAACAGGACATGAAAGACACCCTAAAGACAACACAGTGGCTGAAGCAGGACATGAAAGACACCCTGCGCACACAGTGGATGAAACAGGACATGAAAGACACCCTGCTCATGAAGACAACACAGTGGCTGAAGCAGGACATGAAAGACACTGCACATGAAGACAACACAGTGGCTGAAGCAGGACATGAAAGACACCCTGCGCATGAAGACAACACAGTGGCTGAAGCAGGACATGAAAGACAACCTGCGCATGAAGACAACACAGTGGCTGAAGACAGGACATGAAAGAAACTCTGCGCATGAAGATGTTTGAGACAGAGAAGCTTAGGGGAAGGATCCAGAATTATTGAGACATGTTGCCATGGGAGCAACATTCTGTAAAGGATGAGATGTTTGCTTTTTGCAATGGCTACCCCTTTGTTTAGCACTAATTTTGAGATGTGCAATTGCCATAGATGTCCTGATATTTCTCTGCTTACTGAGCTACTATTAATGATATAAACATTTTTGTCTCTCCCGTTTGTACAACTGTGTTATTTGTTACTGTTTTTCCTCCAGGTTCTGGTATAGTGACGGAGTGGGAGCAAGAGACCGCCACACTGATCATCTCTGGGAATGCAAGGATCATCCGACTCTGGGACATGCAGAGAGAGAAGACCATCTGTGTATGTCTGACAGTGTTTCTTGTGTCTGTAGTCTCATGTGTGTTTGTAAATGCTGTTCTTCCCCTCCCAGCTCGTGAACATGTAGTGTCAGTTGGACTGAACTGGCCAGAATGTCTGTCATGTTTTCATCTCAGCCTGAACACTTCTAGTAACCTGTGGCTGTATAAACATTTCTGGGGGATTTTTTTAAAATGATTCTTCTGAGGAAGCGAATCAGCATTTTCCTAGAAACATTGTTTCATCATAGTTATTTGTTTATTTTGTTTATCGTTGTGTTTGTATTATGTTTAGACTGAGATTTGAATGAGTTGGTGGCTGTATTTGTTAGTTGGTTTTATGCGTGATGTTAAAAAGATGAATTTAAGAAAACCAAGGAAATAAGAGAAATATCTTCAAACCCACTGGTATCAAAAGTTATAGGACAAAGAAGATGGCAGTATAATTATGAGGATAAGTGGAAAAGAATAATCAGGAAACACATGCACTTATAAAATAAGGATATGCAAGAGAAAGCCTTCAGTGAACACGTCTGTCTTGATTTCATCCATTATTTTGAACAGATGATACAGGATAGACCAGAGTGGAGGAATACACTGTGACCTACATTTTAAATGGCAAAATAGGATGGTAACTTGTTTAATAAATGTTTGCTGTTGTTTTTGTCAACATTATATTGTTACTATAATCTTTTTCATTGTGATTTATTATAGGATATCAACACTGGAGCCGAAAGTTGTGTGACCAGCTTGGCATCTGATCCCATGGGTAAATCATTGTTGATCGCTGGCTGTGGTGATGGGTCAGTGCGTCTCTTTGATCGCAGAATGAATCCAACGGAATGGTATGTGACCACCAAAAATCTAGTTTGTAAAAAAAATAAAAAAAAAAACACATAGGAAACCAACAAGTAGTACTACATCCCTGCTGGCACCAAACATTTGTTTAGAGTTTTCTTCGTAATTTCATTCATGTCAAGGTGGTTTTACTGTAGTTTAAAATGAGCATTTTAGATGAGATCATGCCAAAATGATTGAAAATGAGCAAGTCAAAAAGTTTCTAAACACAGATGACACAGTGCAGTTCTAAGGCTACGTAGAGGAACATGCCATTCAGTGAAGGGATAGTGCTAATGCTGTCTAAAAAGGTTAGGTAAAGCTACAGTAAAGTTGAACATATCTCCAGGGTCCTATTGTGGAGGAAAGAAAAATTAGACCAATTGCCTTCCCAACAAGCATGTCCCAGGATTTGACTAATTGGGGCTTCCTTCAAAGATGCAGTACCTGTGCCTGAGAGGCACGGAACCAACAGTCTGCATAGAAATGAGCTAGATGTGTGAAACAAATGTGCACGCAACACTCAAGTTCTAGAATGTCTTCTTCTTAGCGTCTGTGAATTCTGAGAAGGTCCTGGTTGTTCATCATTTGGGCTTTGGCCTCGTACCAGCACCTGAGTGTTGCATGTACATTCGTTTTACTGACTTATTTGTTTACCATTCTTATTCCCTGCCTCTTGGGCAGATGTACTCTGACTACTAAGGAGGATGTCAGTCCTGTCTCTAGGACGACTGTGGCCATTGTTTCCTGGGGCATGATGTTGCCTCATTTGTGTGCTGTCCTCTGTGTCCCTTTACCTAAAGATTTTGCCCCCTAGGAGAACCCCTTTAAGGCAACCTCATGACTGGTCAGCCTTCAAGGAAGAGCAGGCGCAGATTATGGGCATTTCTCATCATCCAAAGGGGCTTCCATAAATGCAAAGCTGTCACACGATGCCTCTGGTCCGGGCTCACCCAAGGAATTGTCACGCCTTGCACATGACTGCTTAACCTTAACAACCGTATGCTGAGCTTTCCACTCGTCACGGGCTGCATCCTCCAGAGGTCAGCAGGAAGCAGCTCACAGGTCCAGGACTTCAATGACCACACAAATAGATACATCTTGTTAATCACATTAGACACCTTTAATGTTGTTTCAACTGTGTGCTTAGAGCGACAGTATGGAGAGGCATGCCCCAGGCTTGGTTTCATCTGTTTGGTCCCAACACTCGGGTGAGTGGTGCTAATGGATACAGACATTTGAACCTTTCTGCCAGTCAGTAGAACCTGTGTTGATTGGACACTGCTTGTGTACCATAGGATGTGTATTTGTCAGAAATTTGAGCCTAACCAGCAGATTGATAGTGGCTGTCGTGGTGAACTTTGGCTCAGTGACGACAATTGAGGGTTGGAGAGGATGTAGAAAGACAGGATTTTACTGCGAGAAACCGCCCACAGGAAATATTGCTGGTCCAAGCTGAAGGCAGATCTTTTGGTTTTGGACTGAGTCTCAGCAGTTCAGTTTTCTATCACTCGAATTTAAACAGTTGATTGTCGTATGGCAGAATGTTTGTCGCAGTTTACTTGAGGATTATTTTCCACAAACCCCTCAGCAGACAGGGGGTCTTCTGAATGGTGGCTCTCATTTGCTAGAAGGCCTAATGTTCAAACTTCCATTGAAACCTATCAGGAAAGGTGACTCGAGCTCTGACAGTGAATCAAACTCTTGGGTACCTCTCGGTCAGAATCCCCATTACAAATCCACTGAAACAACACACAGCAATATGATAAACAACAGTGAATATCAAGCTAAACCTTTCTGAGAACAATTCATTCCAGTGAAACACAAACTTTTCAAAGACAAGAAGTCAGATGAACTAAAACTAAATGTAATAAATGTATAACGGCCACTGAAAAGTAGCACGAAGCAATGATCTTCTTCTTGCGTTCACCAGCTGTAAACTCTGGAGAATGTTCTGGTTCTCGTGACTACTGAACTGCAGTCCTGCTCCAGAATGAGTGTTGCGTGTGCATCAGTTTTACAGTTAAAGGAGAATGTTGGTTTCATTGCAGTCCGAAGACACACTCAGCTTCAAATGAAGCTCCCCAATTAACTCTTACAACATGCTTTTGGGGAGGAGAATCTATTCTTGTTTTCCCCACAATGGGGCCCCCGGAAACCCACACAGGGGGTAGCACGAAGAATCAAAACGTTGTTCAAGTCTTTGAAGGATTGAACTAGAGAAAGAGTCTTTCTAGCCACATCATTTCCATGATATCCTTGCCTCGGAGAGTGAGACAAATTCATCTCTTCATGTGATGTTAACTTGGATTATGGTCTGATCCAGCAATTCCTTAAGGTAGATGACATCTCGTTACTCAGAACATGGTGTACGATTAAGATTGACCGGGATGATCGAATAATATTCCTTCCTTGCCTGTGGGCGTGAATTCAAATCCTACAGTCGTATCAGGCAATGACTTCAACACAGGTTTGTTTCTTGCTGTTGGCGAGAGAACCTGACTGATGCTTGGATCTTCCAATATCCTGAATTATTGGCACTGAGCAAACTGTTTGACACTGGCTCCCGCTTACACAGCTTTGAGGTTGAGGGCGTCCAAACCATGAAGGTTGACTTTATATATCTTAGACCTACTTGTTGGTGAACGCAATGGCACACTAGTTATTTCTATCAGATGAAATAGTTTTTTAATCCAATCTAGTAGCGACTGGTCTCATTGACCAATTGATTATAGTTTGAACTGGTTGGATTTATCTGAAGACTAGTTTGGATGATGCTGAAAGCATTTCTAGCTGGGGACATGTATTGATGGCGGATATGAACGTCATGATTTCTGATGGACAAGCTGAGGGCATGAACAAGTGGGGACCGAATAAAAGATAACAACTGATCATACAAGGTTAACAATACCATAAATACACTCCAGATAGGTGATTGATTGATCCGAAGAGGTTTAGAAAGCCGGCTCAAAGAATTCACAGAGAAATTTCAGCTGAAAGTGCATTCCAACCAGGATTGCTATCTATCGCCTTTCATCGCAGGCGATCGTAGACAAACAGATTCGCATTATCAATCTGCCGACCTTTTCTTGCACACACACACACAGGCACTGAGCACAAATATTCATTTAAATCCTTTTAGGAAAACTCACCCATGTCAATGGACAAAGAGAATAAAGGGCTTTGTCAACGGTCAAGTAGCTGAAACTCGTCTGCACACTTGAACGGACTAAGAAGAAGTGACGTATAAAATTATAGTCCCTATCTACGACAGTTGGTGCAAGAATATGGCTCAAGTACACTGTGAAGCGGTCACACAATTACTCTTGAACGGGCGTAGAAAATGTGTCTTATCATGCAAATTGACACTATATGCCTTAAAGAAACAATCTAAGAGTGATTTATATAGATTTCTCATAGCTGGACTCCCCATCAACAAACGAACTATATAACTACGGACGGACCATCCGATATCATAGTTACATCAACAAATATGGGGGTGTCCAGACTGTGGGCCAGTCTATTGTGGTAGGGGTGTTGATGCTGTTATGTGACAGTGATGCATTCGGTAAGCAGACTTTACTCATGTTCAAGATGAGTTTTAATAGACTTTCTTACCCATGCATTGTGGGTGGACTGATGAGAGGCAGACTGGACCCTACATCTCTGGGGGCTACCAGCTCTTAGATGCCCTGCCAGTGCTGTTAATACTTATTTGAGACATAATCTGTGGTGCACGACAGGGACGTGCAGCAGGAGTCTTGCCTTAGGTTCTGTAAAACCAGCACGGAGAAGGCTGGAGCCCGAGGCGAGCTACAGAGTATCGCATTATACATGTCACACTGTTTTAACTGTCCCTCACAATTGGGACCGAAATCACCGCGCCACAATTCTGGATCAAGACTAAAGTCTGTACATGGATGAACACCCAGAACTTTTGACCAAAATTTGCAGCTGGTGCACGAAGAAGAAGAATAACAATAGTTTGTAAAACATAAAATTAGTAGACTTGAATGTCGTCCAGTGAAACACACCAGCAAATGATATTGAAGGAGAATGTCGTCCAGTAAAACACATCAGCAAATGATAACCGTGAATCAGTTGAAGGAGAATGTCATCCAGTGAAACACACCAGCAAATGATAACAGTGAATCAGTTAAAGGAGAATGTCATTCAGTGAAACACACCAGCAAATGATAACAGTGAATCAGCTAAAGGAGAATGTCGTCCAGTGAAACACACCAGCAAATGATAACAGTGAATCAGTTGAAAGAGAATGTCGTCCAGTGAAACACCAGCAAATGATAACCGTGAATCAGTTAAAGGAGAATGTCATTCAGTGAAACACACCAGCAAATGATAACAGTGAATCAGTTAAAGGAGAATGTCGTCCTGTGAAACACACCAGCAAATGATAACAGTGAATCAGTTAAAGGAGAATGTCATTCAGTGAAACACCAGCAAATGATAACCGTGAATCAGTTAAAGGAGAATGTCATTCAGTGAAACACACCAGCAAATGATAACAGTGAATCAGCTAAAGGAGAATGTCGTCCTGTGAAACACACCAGCAAATGATAACCGTGAATCAGCTAAAGGAGAATGTCGTCCTGTGAAACACACCAGCAAATGATAACAGTGAATCAGTTAAAAGAGAATGTCGTCCAGTGAAACACACCAGCAAATGATAACAGTGAATCAGTTAAAGGAGAATGTCATTCAGTGAAACACACCAGCAAATGATAACCGGGAATCAGTTAAAGGAGAATGTCATCCAGTGAAACACACCAGCAAGTGATAACCGTGAATCAATTAAAGGAGAATGTCGTCCAGTGAAACACACCAGCAAATGATAACCATAAATCAACTAAAGGAGAATGTCGTCCAGTGAAACACACCAGCAAATGATACCAGTGAATCAGTTAAAGGAGAATATCGTCCAGTGAAACACACCAGCAAATAACAGTAAATCAGTTAAAGGAGAATGTTGTCCAGTGAAACACACCAGCAAATGATAACAGTGAATCAGTTAAAGGAGAATATCGTCCAGTGAAACACACCAGCAAATAACAGTAAATCAGTTAAAGGAGAATGTCGTCCAGTGAAACACACCAGCAAATGATAACAGTGAATCAGCTAAAGGAGAATGTCATCCTGTGAAACACACCAGCAAATGATAACCGTGAATCAGCTAAAGGATAATGTCATCCAGTGAAACACACCAGCAAATGATAACAGTGAATCAGTTGAAGGAGAATGTCGTCCAGTGAAACACACCAGCAAATGATAACAGTGAATCAGTTAAAGGAGAATGTCGTCCAGTGAAACACACCAGCAAATGATAACCGTGAATCAGTTGAAAGAGAAGGTCGTCCAGTGAAACACACCAGCAAATGATAACAGTGAATCAGTTAAAGGAGAATGTCGTCCAGTGAAACACACCAGCAAATGATAACCGTGAATCAGTTAAAGGAGAATGTCGTTCAGTGAAACACACCAGCAAATGATAACAGTGAATCAGCTAAAGGAGAATGTCATCCTGTGAAACACACCAGCAAATGATAACCGTGAATCAGCTAAATGATATTGTCATCCAGTGAAACACACCAGCAAATGATAACAGTGAATCAGTTGAAGGAGAATGTCGTCCAGTGAAACACACCAGCAAATGATAACCGTGAATCAGTTAAAGGAGAATGTCGTCCAGTGAAACACTACCAGCAAATGCATGATTGTGAATCAGTTAAAGGAGAATGTCATTCATGAAACTACCAGCAAATGATAACCGTGAATCAGCTAAAGGAGAATGTCATCCTGTGACACACCAGCAAATGATAACCGTGAATCAGCTAAATGATATGGTCATAGCAGTGGGCACACCAGCAAATGATAACAGTGAATCAGTTGAAGGAGAATGTCGTCCAGTGGGGGCAAATGATAACCGTGAATCAGTTAAAGGAGAATGTCGTGATTGAAACACTAGCAGCAAATGATAACAGTGAATAGCTAAAGGAGAATGTCATTGATGAAACAGCACCAGGATAACCGGAATCAGCTAAATGATATTGATCCAGTGAAACACACCAGCAAATGATAACAGTGAATCAGTTGAAGGAGAATGTCGTCCACTAGCACACCAGCAAATGATTGATGTGACTAGTTTTAAAGGAGAATGTCGTCCAGTGGGGGACACCAGCAAATGATAACAGTGGGTTAAAGGACAATGTCATTCAGTGAAACACACCTGGAAAATAATAACCGGGGACAGTGAAGGATGTCGTCCAGTGACTAGCAAATGATAACATGAATCATTGAAGGGACTATATCGTGGACATGATAGGGGAATGGACAAGCTGGGGATTATATGTCTGATTAATTTGGTAATTTAGATGATTGACTGACTGGTTGATTGATTGATTGACTGACTACTTGCCTGTGGGACATTTATGATGGACTGACTGGGGCTTATTAGTTGATTGACTAGCTGACTTACTGGATTATTGACTGGTTGATTGATTGACTGGCTAGCTTACTGGTTTGTTTTCAACTGATGTATTGCTCGACTTACTTGTTGGTTAACTCAATTGACTAGTTATTTTATCAGATGAAATATTTTAATTCACTAGTTAACTGGTTCATTGACCAATTGATTAGTTTGAATTATTGATTTTCTGACTAGTTTGGATGATTGGCGAGCTGGGGACATGATTGATGGACTAGCAGGGGGCATGATTGATGGACTAGCTGGGGGCATGATTGATGGACTAGCAGGAGGCATGATTGATGGACTAGCAGGGACATGATTGATGGACTGACTAGCTGGGGACATGATGGATGGACTAGCTGGGGACATGATGGACTGACTAGCTGGGGACATGATGGACTGACTAGCTGGGGACATGATTGATGGACTAGCTGGGGACATGATTGATGGACTAGCAGGGGGCATGATTGATGGACTAGCAGGGGGCATGATTGATGGACTAGCAGGGGGCATGATTGATGGACTAGCAGGGGGCATGATTGATGGACTAACATGGGGCAGACTGACACTTAGCCTAATTGATTGACTAGCTAAGGGTGGACTGATACATAGGTTGATTGGTTAGTTGATTAGTTTTCTGACTGATTGACTAGTTAGTGGTTGATTATGGTTGCTTTGCCTGATTGGTTGATGTGGAATTTTAGGACTTGATGTGTGTCAAATCAAGGAGTTGGCTGATGAAACTTTAATACATACAGAATGAAGCCATGAGGGTTATTTTCAACACAAGAGATACCCTGGTAGTATGCCTGCGATATATTACAGATAGGTTCAGAATGCTGCAAGTAAAGTCATATTTCTGAGTAGCTGCAGACAAGAAGCACCTCCTGCATGAATCCGTAGGTAGAGCTAAGGGTCACTGACTGAAAAGAGGAAGGTCATGGATGGGGCAAACTGAAGATACAATTAAACATGTGCATATTTGAGAATACTGGATGAGGAGAGGAATGGGTCATAGTGTCCGAGCAACGATCAGTAAGGTTCTAATCACATTGCGCCATGGTTGCAGGAACTGACCAGTGAGCCATGGTTGCAGGAACTGACCAGTGAGCCATGGTTGCAGGAACTGACCAGTGTGCCATGGTTGCAGGAACTGACCAGTGAGCCATGGTTGAAAGAACTGACCAGTCAGCCATGGTTGCAGGAACTGACCAGTGAGCTGTGGTTGAAAGAAAACTGACCAGTCAGCCATGGTTGCAGGAACTGACCAGAAAGCCATGGTTGCAGGAACTGACCAGTGAGTCATGGTTGCAGAAACTGACCAGTGAGCCATGGTTGCAGGAACTGACCAGTGAGCCATGATTGCAGGAACTGACCAGTGAGCCATGGTTGCAGGAACTGACCAGTGAGCCATGGTTGCAGGAACTGACCAGTGAGCGCTGCAGAATCAAGTTTAAAAAGTTATTTATGTCAGTTCCCACCCAGGTGATGTGATTATTCATATAGAGGGCTCTGGTTTTAGAGGCACACAAAATGCATGTACAAGGGTTCATAGTAAAAGCGAATAGATGTCGCTTAGTGCAACAAAGCTTGACATATAATGCCACATCTTGTCTGAGAGTGGAGGTGGAGGCAGTCTTTGCTACCTTCTGCTGGGTTGAGAGCCAGATGTGCATGCATATATTTTAGTTGTAATTGACTTACAGAGCATGTTGAGAAAGATGGAGAGATAAGAATGCGCGTGCAGTGGCAAGCATCACATAACAGGTTCCGGCTAGTTAGTGACCTTTGGATATTTTCTCCAGGTAATGACCGTGTGTTGGGAAATGAACAGTAAGTTAGACTGGCTGGGTCTGCACAACTTGGTAGTGAACTGATGCTTGACAAGCTAGGTGTAATAATGGGCCTTTGGAAGCGAGTGAAAAGTGCAGAGGCACAGATGGATCATCACAATCTAAGGAGACTGATGTTGTGAAGACGGACCAGGGGATCTAGCCGAAGCTCAGCATTCAAGAGAAAGGCAAGACGGATATATAATCACTGTTAGTGATACTAGAATTGAAACTCTGCGGTTACTGTTGAAGATGGGGTACGGGCGCTAATGGAATATCTATAATGCTGTGATGTCATTTCTTAATTTCATTGGGTGACTAATTGTGCTGATGCTGACTAGTTAAGAGTTCATTGATTGGTTGCTTGGCTAACTGACTAGTTGAGAGTTCATTGATTAATTGCTTGGCTAACCAACTAGTTGACAGTTCATTGATTGGTTGCTTGGCTGACTGACTAGTTGACAGTTCATTGATTGGTTGCTTGGCTGACTGACTAGTTGAGAGTTCATTGATTGGTTGCTTGGCTGACTGACTAGTTGACAGTTCATTGATTGGTTGCTTGGCTGACTGACTAGTTGACAGTTCATTGATTGGTTGCTTGGCTGACTGACTAGTTGACAGAGTTCATTGATTGGCGTTGCTTGGCTAACCAACTAGTTGAGAGTTCATTGATTGGTTGCTTGGCTGACTGACTAGTTGACAGTTCATTGATTGGTTGCTTGGCTGACTGACTAGTTGAGAGTTCATTGATTGGTTGCTTGGCTGACTGACTAGTTGATCTGTTCATCCCTAAAGTTGCTTGACTGACTGACTATTTGAGCCGTGTCATGATTTAAGGCTTGGCTGACTGGGTAGCTCAAGGTTCATTTATTGAGAGGATCAGAGGGCAAGATGACTGACTAGTTGACAGTTGTCATTGATTGTTGTTGCTTGGCATGATTGTCTAGGGACAGTGTCATTGCTTGGTTGCTTGGCTGACAAAGACTAGTTGACAGTAAGGACATTGTCGTTGGTTGCTTGTTGCTGACTGGGACATTGTCACTGTCAAAGAGACATTGTCGTTGCATTGACTTGTCATTGGTTGTCTTGGCTGACTGACTAGTTGACAGTTCATTGATTGGTTGCTTGGCTGACTGACTAGTTGACAGTTCATTTCCTTGGCACACCTCCATTGGTTGCTTGGCTGACTGACTAGTTGACAGTTCATTGATTGGTTGCTTGGCTGACTGACTAGTTGAGAGTTCATTGATTGGTTGCTTGGCTGACTGACCACTGTTATCTGTATCTCCCTAAAGTTTGTGTAATTGTTATTTCAGCCGTGTCATGACCTTAAGGGAACACAACTCCTGGGTGCTCAAGGTACATTTACAGAGAGGATCAGAGGGCAAGATTGTCAGTGCATGGTAAGGGACATTGTCGTTGCTTAGTAAGGGACATTGTCATTGTCAAAGGGACATTGTCGTTGCTTAGTAAGGGTACAAGAGAATGATTGTCATTGTCATTATATCTAGTGTAGGGAGAATGTCATTTGTCACTGTCACTGCTTGGCAAGGAACTGTATCCTCTCACAGAGGAGAAAGGTCTATTGAAGAACTCACCTCCTTAACAGAAATTATGAAATACAGGGAAGACTGTCGCAGAAAAATAGAGAGGGGGGGGGTGGGGGGGGGCAGAATTGTTGTTTATAATACAAAAAAATGTATACATTATTATATCAACTGTACAAGAGAATGTCATGTAAACATTGTTATATCAGCTGTACTATAGAATGAAATGTAAACATTATTATATCAACTGTACAATAGAATGTCATGTAAACATTATTATAGCAGCTGTACAAGAGAATGACATGTAAACATTATTATAGCAACTGTACAAGAGAATGACTGTACAATAGCAGACAAGAGAATGACATGTAAACATTATTATAGCAACTGTACAAGAGAATGACATGTAACATTATTATAGCAGCGTACAAGAGAATGACATGTAAACATTATTATAGCAACTGTACATGTATTATTATTATAGCAACTGTACAAGAGAATGACATGTAAACATTATTATAGCAACTGTACAAGAGAATGACATGTATACATTATTATAGCAACTGTACAAGAGAATGACATGTATACATTATTATATCAACTGTACAAGAGAATGACATGTAAACATTATTATAGCAACTGTACAAGAGAATGACATGTAAACATTATTATAGCAACTGTACAAGAGAATGACATGTAAACATTATTATAGCAACTGTACAAGAGAATGACATGTAAACATTATTATAGCAACTGTACAATAGAATGACATGTAAAACATTATTATAGCAGCTGTACAAGAGAATGAAATGTAAACATTATTATTATAGCAGCTGTACAAGAGAATGACATGTAAACATTATTATAGCAACTGTACAAGAGAATGACATGTATACATTATTATAGCAACTGTACAAGAGAATGACATGTAAACATTATTATAGCAGCTGTACAAGAGAATGACATGTAAACATTATTATAGCAGTTGTACAATAGAATGACATGTAAACATTATTATAGCAACTGTACAAGAGAATGACATGTAAACATTATTATAGCAACTGTACAAGAGAATGACATGTAAACATTATTATATCAACTGTACAAGAGAATGACATGTAAACATTATTATAGCCGCTGTACAATAGAATGACATGTAAACATTATTATAGCAGCTGTACAATAGAATGACATGTAAACATTATTATATCAACTGTACAAGAGAATGACATGTAAACATTATTATAGCAACTGTACAAGAGAATGACATGTAAACATTATTATAGCAACTGTACAAGAGAATGACATGTAAACATTATTATAGCAGCTGTACAAGAGAATGACATGTAAACATTATTATAGCAACTGTACAAGAGAATGACATGTATACATTATTATAGCAACTGTACAAGAGAATGACATGTAAACATTATTATAGCAACTGTACAAGAGAATGACATGTTTACATTATTATAGCAACTGTACAAGAGAATGACATGTATACATTATTATAGCAACTGTACAAGAGAATGACATGTAAACATTATTATAGCAGCTGTACAAGAGAATGACATGTAAACATTATTATAGCAACTGTACAAGAGAATGACATGTAAACATTATTATAGCAACTGTACAAGAGAATGACATGTAAACATTATTATAGCAACTGTACAAGAGAATGACATGTAAACATTATTATAGCAACTGTACAATAGAATGACATGTAAACATTATTATAGCAACTGTACAATAGAATGACATGTAAACATTATTATAGCAACTGTACAAGAGAATGACATGTAAACATTATTATAGCAACTGTACAAGAGAATGACATGTAAACATTATTATAGCAACTGTAGAAGAGAATGACATGTAAACATTATTATAGCCGCTGTACAATAGAATGACATGTAAACATTATTATAGCAGCTGTACAAGATGATGACATGTAAACATTATTATAGCAGCTGTCCAATAGAATGACATGTAAACATTATTATAGCAACTGTACAAGAGAATGACATGTAAACATTATTATATCAACTGTACAAGAGAATGACATGTAAACATTATTATAGCAGCTGTCCAATAGAATGACATGTATACATTATTATAGCAACTGTACAAGAAAATGACATGTTTACATTATTATAGCAACTACAAAACAATGACATGTATACATTATTATAGCAACTACAAGATGATGACATGTAAACATTATTATAGCAACTTTACAAGAGAATGACATGTAAACGGTCCTCTGAATGTTTCCCAAGTTGTGATGGTGATATCCGGTTCTGGGACCCACGGTTCACAGATTCTGTCAGGGTCTACAGCACGCCAACAACACTGTCTTCTGTTGACATCCACCCTCGGGCAGACATCATTGCCTGGTAAGTTGTGCCAGTTGTTGATGCATTATTGTTTCAGTGGCACACCTGTTGGTTGTTTAGGTGCTAACTGAAATTCTGTTGGGGGTGTATCTGGTCGGTTTGAGAAATACTATTTCTGTGGGGGGGGGGGGGGGGGGTTGTTTTTCTTCAGAAAATACTAATTTATTGTGGGAGGTATATATGGTTCATTTGAGAAATACTAATTTATTGTGGGAGTTATATATGGTTCATTTGAGAAATACTAATTTATTGTGGGAGTTATATATGGTTCATTTAATATTGTCTGTCCAAAAGCACAGTGAAGATCAAAATCTGTTCTTGAATTTAAAGAAAATGAAAATAATGTCCACAGATAAAACTGGCAGTCACCCAAAAATAACAATAAATGATAAAGAAATTGAAAATGTCACAAACTTTGAATATCTAGGCTCTATAATAAACAACAATGGAGACTGTTCGACAGAAATTAAAAGGAGGATGGCCATAGCAATGCACAGATTGAACAGCCTTAAAAGTCTATAGTTAAGCACCAGCAAGGAAATAAATATTAGAATTTTGAGAGCATGCATCTTCCCTGTGACTACATACGGATGTGAGTCGTGGACTATCTCTCAGTCCTTAAAAAAAGAGAATAGGGGCTTTTGAGCTGAAATGCTATAGAAAGATTCTCAGAATATCTAGGACAAAGAAAAGGAGAAATATTGACATCTTAAAAGATCTGAACATCAAGGAAGATTGGCTAATAAACAGCATCCTTTCTCGGAAGCTGAAATATTTTGGTCATATGAAGCGCCACGACGGATTGGAAAAGACATGGTACAAGGAAAGGGGGACAGGGGCCGACCGACACGAAGATGGGCACAGGATATAAGTGATTCCTTGAGTATGAAAGTACATGAGGCAGGAGAACTGGCGAGAGACCGAGTTTCTTTCAGGCAGACTGTGATGTGCAAAGGACCTGCTACATGATGATGATGATATATGGGTCATTTGAGAAATACTAATTTCAGCTTTGAAGTCTTTATGGTGGATGTAAGAAATATTGGGGGAGGACTAGAGAATAAAACCTTTGGTGTCTAATTATATCACCTTTGATCTTTTGGGTTTTTAGATCAAAGACCTGTCCTTCTTGGATAAAGGCAACACACAAACAAAATCTTGTGTGCAAGTTGTACTCATTAAAGTATTGAGGCAGTTGGAAATTGCAAAGATAAGGCTTTACTGGCAAAATTGTCAAGTGTAAAAAGCTACCCACAGGTAAGTAGAAGCTGTTACTTTGGATGGAATTTTGCTAGAGGAGAGAAACCTGACACAAATAAATGCTGAAGATTGACACACTGACCCATGAGATGTGTAAACAAGTATGGCACACTTCCTTAGAAAGATGAGTGAGGACAACTAAGCTGATTGTTGTATTGTTGGTCAGATGTGCCAAGTGATCCACTGTCATTTGTCTCCAGTGGCTCCACCAATCAGTGCATGACTGCTTACAGCCCCCACGGCACAGTACTGAGTACAGTCAAATACCACGAGGGTTTCCTGGGACAGAGGATTGGCAATGCTAGCTGCATGTCTTTCCATCCATATTTGGTAAATCTACATGTTCATTACCAGAAGTTGTACACAGTCTTGACTACACATCATTGTCATCACAGTCTTGACCACATATCATCATCATCACACTGTTGACTAGACATCATCAACATCACACTGTTGACTACACATCAACATCACACTGTTGACTACACATCATCAACATCACACTGTTGACTACACATCATCAACATCACACTGTTGACTACACATCATCAACATCACACTGTTGACTACACATCATCAACATCACACTGTTGACTACACATTATTGTCATCACAGTCTTGACCACACATCATCATCATATCAACATCACACTGTTTACTACACGTCATCAGCATCACACTGTTGACCTCACATCATCAGCATCACACTGTTGACTACACATCATCAACATCACACTGCTGACTACACATCATTGTTATCACACTGTTGACTACACATCATTGTTATCATCACACTTTTGACTACAGATCACCACACTGTTGACTACACATCATTGTTATCACACTGTTGACTACACATCTTTGTTATCATCACACTGTTGGCTACACATCACCACACTATTGACTACACATCATCATCATCACACTTTTGACTATACATCATCACCACACTCTTGACTACACATCATTGTCATCACCACACTCTTGACTACACATCATCACACACTGTTGACAACACATTATCATCATCATCACACTGTTGACTACACATTATTGTCATCATTACACTGTTGACTACACATCATCACACTTTTGACTACACATCATTGTCATCACTACATTGTTGACTACACATCATTGTCATCATCACACTGTTGACTACACATCATTGTTATCATGACACTTAACTACACATTATCATCATCACACTGTTGACTATACATGATCACATTATTGACTACACATCATCACATTATTGACTACACATCATTGTTATCACACTCTTGACTACCCTTAATTGTCATCACACTCTTGACTACAGATCATTATCGCCACACTCTTGACTGAACATTGTCATCACACTCTTGACTACACATCATTGTCATCATACTGTTGACTACACAACATTCCACTGTTGACTAATCATCATGTCCTCACACTGTTGACTACACATCATCACATTGACTACACATCATTATGATCACTGTGTTGACTACTCATTCTTAACACTGTTGACTACACATCATCACATTATTGACTAAACATCATTATCATCACTCTGTTGAGTACACATCATCACATTATTGACTACACATCATTGTCATCACACTGTTGACTACACGTTGTCATGACACTGTTGACTTCACATCATCATCACAGTGTTTACTTTATCGTCACACTGCTAACAACACATCATCCTTACAGCCTTCACTTAACATCAGCACAATGTTGAGTAGACATCACCATCATACTAATGACTACACATCATCCACTGTTGACTACACAGTATCTACACAGTGTGCACTACACACTATCAGACTGCAGACAAACTGTGTATGTACGTGCATCCAGCTGTGTCCAGTGTTTGTGTGCACGTGCGTGTGTGCATGCATGCATGCGTGCGTGCGTTTGTGCGCACACACACGGAGCAGCTAACATTGTTTCTGGTTCTTGTGTGTTTACTCTTGGAATTTAGTTTCTAGACTGCTGCATTCACACATGCCAGATTGTAAAAAAAGTTCATGTGTGCTAACATTTCTGATTTTCAGGTGCAGCTGGCAACTGGCAGTGCTGACTGTTTTGTTTCTATCTACACAACACAGAGAAATGTCCCACAGTCATAACATCTCTGAATAGGACATTCACAGGCTCATCACTGTCTTAGATGCCAAACTTGAGACATCAGCAATCTGGCATCTTTAGAAGCAGCAAATGAGTGCCTGCACACCTTCAGTCACAAAGTTCTGGTCAGACATTCTCCAGACATGATTGATGCTGTGAAAAAAGGATGTACTTCATCTGGATAGACTGGTTCATGATTGGGTAGTCTAGTAAAAGACTGGGTAGTATGATCTAAAGTTGAGTAGTTTAAATCATGACTGGGTGATGTAGTCCAAAAATGGATAGTCTATGCCAAGAATAGATAGTCCAAAAATGGATAGTCTATGCCAAGAATGGATAGTTTATGCCAAGAATGGATAGTTTATGCCAAGAATGGATAGTTTAGTCCAGGAGTGAACAGCTTTGTCCAAAGTTAAATTTTGTTAGTTGTTGTTGAAGACTGAGTAGTTTTGTGCAGAATTGAATGATAGTTCAAGGTTGGATTGTGTTAACCTAGTGGAAGATGGGATATAATAGTTCAAGGTTGGATTGTGTTAACCTAGTGGAAGATGGGATATAATAGTTCAAGGTTGGATTGTGTTAACCTAGTGGAAGATGGGATATAATAGTTCAAGGTTGGATTGTGTTAACCTAGTGGAAGATCCGATATAATAGTTCAAGATTTGTTGTTAACATAGTCAGCATTGGGTCATACAGTTTTGTAATTAACTCCTTCGATATCAGACAACTGACTGTACATTTCTTGGTATTTCCGCAGCTGTGAAAAACTCTTGCAGTTCAAGACCCAGGTTATATTAACCCTTTATGTCTGAATTATTAGTTGAACTACTTGTATGCCAGTATGTTTGTGTGGAACTCCTTCAGACCTCAGTATTAATTGCTTGTAAGCTTGGGATAGAAATGGTTACAGTAACAGTTGCTTGGTACTGCAAGAGTTGACTTTATAGTTGAACATTTGGTTGTATTAATGTAAACATAGTTGAGGTCATGTAGTCCAGTAGTTCTAGACTGGATATTATTGTTCAATATTTGGTTGTTGTAACATAGTCTAAGACTGGGTCACGTAAGCCAAGATTGAGCAGACCTTAGTTCAATATTTGTTTGTTGTAACATAGTCTAAGACTGGATCTCGTAAGCCAAGATGGTGCAGACCTTAGTTCAATATTTGGTTGTTGTAACATAGTCTAAGACTGGGTCACCTAAGCCAAGATTGGGCAGACCTTAGTTCAATATTTGGTTGTTGTAACAGAGTCTAAGACTGGGTCACGTAAGCCAAGATTGGGCAGACCTTAGTTCAAAATTTGACTGGGTCCAAGAGTGGTTATCACAGTTGGAAATCATAGTCTGAGATGAAAGTCCTATGAAGACATCTGTCCATGACACTGTCATCAACTAACTCATATTAGATATCTGACTCTATCACGGGCAGCTTGACTCCTCTGTGATGTCATTATGCAGTTGTAGGTTTGCTAACTGATGGAGAGGAATTATATATGAAGGCTGTTACAGAACATGGCAAATACTCCATTGGAGGACACAAATCAAAAGAAGGTCTGCAGGAAGCTATGAAGTGCAGCAAAAAAGGGCATATTGACTGAGGGAATGTGGATCCCGCTGGTATCAAGACAGACCAGTCCAGCACTAAATCTGACCTCCTTCTTACCCCACTTCATCTACTCTTGTTTTAGAGTTTTTCAAAGACAGACACCCAAAATTTGTTTGTTTGTCCATTTTTAAAGAAGTGAATCCTAGCGTGGCTGACTGGACCAGTGTGAACACAGAAACGTCTCTTATGAGATCAAATGAATATGAACTGTTGATTGGCTAAGGAGGCAATGACTCATTTGGAACACCTCCTCTGTAGCTCCCTCAACCCTGTAACTGCCCCCAGAGCGACCATGCCACTGTGATTAACTACACCAACCAGAGTGAGCAGCAGCAGCCAGGCCGTCCCAGTATCCTGTGTTATTGCCACAACTCTTCATTGAGCTTTCAGGGTTTCTTTATATTTCATGTTTTCAACTCTGGGTCACAGAAAAATAGTGTTATTATATAAACAGCTATCACTGGTTACTGCTAGTACAAGCTTGAGATACTGTGTGTAACACTGGTTACTGCTAGTACAAGCTTGAGATACTGTGTGTAACACTGGTTACTGCTAGTACAAGCTTGAGATACTGTGTGTAACACTGGTTACTGCTAGTACAAGCTTGAGATACTGTGTGTAACACTGGTTACTGCTAGTACAAGCTTGAGATACTGTGTGTAACACTGGTTACTGCTAGTACAAGCTTGAAATACTGTGTGTTACTACTAGTACAAGCTTGAGATAATGTGTGTAACACTGGTTACTGTTAGTACAAGCTTGAGATACTGTGTGTAACACTGGTTACTGCTAGTACAAGCTTGAGATAATGTGTGTAACACTGGTTACTGTTAGTACAAGCTTGAGATACTGTGTGTAACACTGGTTACTGCTAGTACAACTTAGAGATAAGATATTAAGTGGAGCATAGATACAGTTGATATAAGCCATAGATACTGGATTCATCGCAGATACTGCTGGTACAAACTGTAGATACTAGGTACAGCACATATACTGCTGGTACAAACTGTAGATACTAGGTACAGCACAGATACTGCTGGTACAAACTGTAGATACTACGTACAGCACAGATACTGCTGGTACAAACTATAGATACTAGGTACAGCACAGATACTGCTGGTACAAACTGTAGATACTAGGTACAGCACAGATACTGCTGGTACAAACTGTAGATACTAGGTACAGCACAGATACTGCTGTTACAAGCACTCAGCGAGGACACATACATTATGTGGAAATATGTTCAGCAAGGGCACAACTGTGGACCTTATGTAACAACAAAGACAAGACAAGAGGCTGCTGGCGATGTTTTCTATACAAGTTACATTATTATGTTTTGTTGATGTTTACATGAGAAATGTGGATTGTTTTGTTAAAATCATCTGCAGAGACCAAACTGTAAAGAGACCTCTCTTCTTCCTTGCGGTCATTATTTGTCGACTCCTGGGGAACATTCTGGTAATTTCTTCTGGTCTTTAGACTTTTTCCAGAAGTTAAGTTTTGCTTGCACATCTGTTTTACAGATATGGCTTACTTGTATGCAGACTGTTAGTTTCTCCCATCTCAGGCAGACTTTGAAGGAAACACCCCTCATTAGTGAACAATTACGGCATGCTTGTTAGAGTAGTGTTCATTTCTTTCCAAAATGGGGCTTTGGAATCCACATGTGAAATACGGAGACCAATATGTGTTGTGTGTTGTTGTCCTGATGGCATCAAGGCCACATTCCACTGTGTTTCAGTGATGAGAGATGTTTCCACTTGTTCCAGATGGCGTATGAACCAGTATGATTTCATGTATATGTTATCATGCGTCACATTGGGGTGCGTGTGTATGTTCTGTTCAGACCAGTTGATTTGTAGTTCCAATTTCTGGACGATGGGTAACCGCATAATCTCTCTGTTCCTAAGCTAGTGAAAACCACGCAAAATGCTCCTAACTTTTCACTGTGAAAGGTGAATCTACAATCAACAGTCCATATAAGAACTGCATTGTTTGCATGCATTAAATGCATAAGGCAAACACCAGATTTTCAGTACCATCCATCTGCCCCTACAGTTGCAATTCATCATTGAAGGAAGCAACAGTCATAACAAAATGACCAGCATGCACATGCAATACTGCATAAGGCAGTCACTGAATCTGGTCACCTACCATTTTCTGAATATATATTCATAACAAGCTTGCAGAGACAAAAAGCCTTCCACATTTTCTTCAAGACTATATAGCTATTCAAGTGCTACAACACACCAAGCTTGCAGAGACAAAAAGCCTTCCACGTGAAATCCACAGCACATTTGTACTTCAAGCACTGAGCTCTCTAGCTGGGCAACTGAATCAAGTGCTACAAATCCAAAAAGAAAAAAATGTATCACCAAGCCATTGACCAGAAGTAAGCAACACTTCAAGGCATTGATCAGTGGCCTGCCTGTCTGCCATATTAGACCAGAAGTAAACAACACTTCAAGGCATTGATCAGTGGCCTGCCTGTCTGCCATATTAGACCTAGAAGTAAACAACACTTCAAGGCATTGATCAGTGGCCTGCCTGTCTGCCATATTAGACCAGAAGTAAACAACACTTCAAGGCATTGATCAGTGGCCTGCCTGTCTGCCATATTAGACTAGGAGTACAGTATAATGCCATGTACATTTTCTGTCCTAGTGGGATGTCATGTGTGTGATCTGTGTCCTAGTGGGATGTCATGTGTGTGATCTGTGTCCTAGTGGGATGTCATGTGTGTGATCTGTGTCCTAGTGGGATGTCATGTGTGTGATCTGTGTCCTAGTGGGATGTCATGTGTGTGATCTGTGTCCTAGTGGGATGTCATGTGTGTGATCTGTGTCCTAGTGGGATGTCATGTGTGTGATCTGTGTCCTAGTGGGATGTCATGTGTGTGATCTGTGTCCTAGTGGGATGTCATGTGTGTGATCTGTGTCCTAGTGGGATGTCATGTGTGTGATCTGTGTCCTAGTGGGATGTCATGTGTGTGATCTGTGTCCTAGTGGGATGTCATGTGTGTGATCTGTGTCCTAGTGGAATGTCATGTGTGTGATCTGTATCCTAGTGGGATGTCATCTGTGTCCTAGTGGGATGTCATGTGTGTCATCTGTGTCCTAGTGGGATGTCATGTGTGTGATCTGTGTCCTAGTGGGATGTCATGTGTGGGATGTCATGTGTGTGATCTGTGTCCTAGTGGGATGTCATGTGTGTGATCTGTGTCCTAGTGGGATGTCATGTGTGTGATCTGTGTCCTAGTGGGATGTCATGTGTGTGATCTGTGTCCTAGTGGGATGTCATGTGTGTGATCTGTGTCCTAGTGGGATGTCATGTGTGTGATCTGTGTCCTAGTGGGATGTCATGTGTGTGATCTGTGTCCTAGTGGGATGTCATGTG